ATATATATATATATATATATATATATATATATATATGCTAGAAAAAGTAATAGTAAATATATCCGACTATTTAAGTAAAGATTGTAGTAGCTAAAATAGTTTTTATCAAAATGAAAGAAAATTTTCCTTTTAAAAGTTAGATACTATATTTATATATGATGCATATACTCCTAATTCTTTTGTAAAATAAATTAGTAAGTTCCAATACGAAGATACATATAAAGAAACATTACAAAATACAAAAAAAAAGTTACAATATAATTTTTTCAATACCAATCACATGATGCCATGAAGGCATACTACAAGATATCATTTTTATAATTCCTTCCAAATACACAAATAACATAGCATTTTATCTATAGTCGCAAGCAATTATAATTACAGTACATTATAAAAATATAATCAATTAATAAAAATTCTAAAATCAGTATTCTAAAGAAATCAACTTCCTCCTTTTCATAGCTCATGAATTTCTGCTAGCACTCCTTACGGATTAAGTAATCTTCATATATCATTCAATGAATGTTGAGTGTTGCAGGTAAATTGATATGACAATTATTTAATTCCAACATTTATCAACTCTACATGTTTCTTCATTCCCATTTTCTTTAGTTCATGCAAAAGAAAAAATTTAAGGGAAAAGAAAGAAACTTAGAAGGGATGTTAGATGTTTAACTAAAGAAACAAAACTTGAAGGAAATGAAAATCATTTGTTTTCTTTATATAGTGTTTTTTTATGTTCTTTCAAATTTCTTTTGACATAATACTAATTAACTTACACTTAAATACTTAATGAATTATTCAAGTTCTACTGATGTTTATTAATAAAGATTGGTTACTAAATTAAAAGTGTTAGAATTTGATGAGACAAATTAAGAAAATCAGAAGACAAATTATAGGAATTGTAAGAGTTTGGTAAAGTAATACATGATGTGTTAATTTAAAGCAATTAATTATGTATGACTCTGGACATTAAACAATCACTTTTCCACTTCCAAATCCCGTTCAATTTATGTAACTGAAAAATTAATTAATTGAATTTTATTTAACTTATAATTAAGGTATGCAAAATAAGATTTTTATCATAATTATTATTAATAATAATAATTCAATTGTGAGAGGTTAATACATATTAAATATTGTAATTATAGGTTGCATAAAAATTCGATTATGAATACAAATATATATTAGAAAAAACTTATTGAGAATTCTAATATTTGACTAATTGAATATTTTATAACATTTTAACTTACAGTAGGGATAAAATGGTAATCAATTTTAAAGCTAAAAGCTTTTTTCACTTTTAATAATAATAATAATAACAACAACAACAACAACAACAATAATAATAATAATAGGAATTAATCTAAGAAAATTCAAAAGTTATTATTATTTAATTAAACTAATCATAACATTTTAATTTATAGGAGGGTAAAATTATAATTCAACTTTTGACTTGAGTTCTTCCCACTTATAATAATATATGATAACGGAAAACAATTTAACTATATATAATTTATCAAAAATTAAGCATTTTAAAAGAAATTTTAAATTTGTGAGACGTTAAGTGATAGAATATTAATCAAGATAGATAAATCAATAAAATAAAAATATCGGCTCCTCGAGCGGATCGATTGGAATAACTAAATATAGTTTTTTATTGTGAAAATAATTGAGTCCATTTATAGTTAAAAAAATGTTTATGGAAGATGTGATTTCTTAAAATATATAAAAGTCTTTCTACATTTTTCAATTCAAAGATTCCACGGCGTTATTTCAGCAGCCAAATAAGAAAGAGAGAAGATCGAGACAAAATCCGTTCACAAGTTGACAAAATGAATAATAATTAAAAAAAAAGTCGTATTCATTCCACTATATATTTCTCAATATTACACAGATGTTAATAAATTCCCTTTTAACGCTTTTAATAATGTGCATAATATTTGGAAGAATTACATCACAATTTCTTAAAAATTATTTTTTCGTCTTTTTTTTAATTATCACATGATATTTTTCAAAAATTAATTTGACTCATTTTTAAAATTGAATTAAATTAATTTTGATATTTGAAATTAAAAATTTAAATATTTAAAAACTATATGAAAACTACAATAAATTATAACTATCTGTATATCAATATGATGTAAAATTATATATTAAATGTTACTCAAAATTCTTAAAAAAAAAAAATCATAACAACTAAAAGAGGATAGAGTGAGTATCATTTAAAAAGAATTATCTTTTCTCATATATATATATCTCCCATATCATGCCGCCAAAAAATATATTCAAGAACAATAAAATTTTTGAAATTATTGTGATTAAAAAAACTTTCAAAAATAGAATATAATTAACCTAAATATTTGAAATTTCTGTACTTCTCCAATGTCCCCCCCTCCCCCCCCCCCCCCTTTTTTTTTTTTGACATGGCCCGTTACTTCTTTATTTGTGCTGTAGTGTAGTGATATTTCTGTCAAAGAATGGTCTGGGCGGTTGATTTTTCAAATAATCATTCTAACTACTAATTATTTTTTAAAAAAGTTATTTTTATCGCATTGAAAAAATTAAAATAAAAAGGAAGTGATATTATGATATAATAAGGTAAAAATTCAATCCTAAAAACCAGATATTGCTTGTTGGACCTTTGTAATTCGTCAAGTGAATATAATTATTAGTTTAAATAAATCATTAGCTAATTATCAGACACTAAAGTTTCTTGAGCTATTTTTAAAAAAGTACAATTAGATAACAGAAAATCCAATTTGTATTAATTTCGGAAAATTAATATTTAGTAACTTACCATATCCAACAATATTTAAAAACTTACAAAGATGGGATGTTTTGTAAATCTCAATGACTTTCTTCCCAAATCAAAGAATATTTATATGACTGATACATTCCATGATTTTATCTATTTCTCGACTTCGTTCAATCATGACGACTTAGTTATGAAGTCATCTCATCAAATCGAAGTATCATCTACAAGAACAGAGAAAAATTACTAGAGATGAAGCTCCTTAACATCATATTTCACATTGTTGTTTATTCTTCATATATAGTAGGAATTGTAAGCTGCTAGGACATCTGGAGTTCGAACTTTCAAAAAAGGATTTTAGGTTGTGAGGTGCTACGACATCTGTAGTTCCATTCCACAGTAATGCAGCGAATTGTTGGTAGGCCAGTTCAGTGGGATGAACAGCGTCGAAAAACAAGTAATCTTTCACATTCTTACATAACTCATACTCTTTTACCTGCCTCTTCTCTCCACAACTAAGAATCCCTCGAAACGGACCAGTTCCACAACAAGCCGTCTCTGATATCTTAAAACCTAAACAAAACAGGACAAAATCATCGGTGCATAATATATATTATATATAATCAAACATTGATTTTGGGTTTGAAGAGATAGAACACACCATATTTAGTTGGATTATCAATGCTATCTCCAAATACTTTGAAGAAGTTGAATATTGTGTACTTAAATCCACGCAATTGCTTCTCTAGTTTTTTGAACATTTGTGGGAGAGCTGAATTAAACATTTTGGTCATGTTTGTGATCTCCTCCATGCAACTTCCATTTGTAACTCCCATTTGAAAGTTGAAAGCCTTAATAGTAGGAATACAACCTATGGGGCCCACATTAAGCATCACAAACTTTCTCCCTCCTTCCTTATAAATTCCCTGTTGCATTCATAACCCTAACTTGTTCATTTGATAAAAGCTACTAGTAAGTAAATTAAATCGAAAGAAATAGAAAAGAACAATATTTAGAATACCTTTAAAACAGAAGTCAAGTTGCCCATAATCATCTGTACATATTCTGTATCGGAATGTGGGAAAGATGAATTTGCAAATAGAGCGGAGAATATATCATTGCTACCAGTGCTAAAAATATATACAGCATTGGAGAGGATCTCTTTTGACTCTGTTTCACCCACTTCGTTCCTCAACAATTGTGTCACGTTTTGGAATAATTTCAACTGAGTTTTAAGATCCATAACCTGTCAAATGGAGACCAACAAAAATTTAGGTCTTAGGCCTAACTCACACCTCAACTCAAGCGGATTCCGCCCATCTCATTAACCACCGATGTGGAACTTTTGTCATTCTTTTAACATAAGAGAATAAGGCAAAGGAAATATTGTTACTTACAGCGCCACGAGCGGTTTCAGCCAAACAACCAGAACCACCTGATGCAAAGTTTACTCCATGTACCAAATGCTTGTTCCGAATTTCAAAATACGGCGGAATAAATGGCAAATTAGCATATTCAGCTGCAAAATACAACTAACTATAATTATAACTATAACGCAAAAAGTTGATGATCTACTACAATTAAATAAATATACATTTCAAAAGAATTGACCAAAACGCGAACGAATTTACCTATAAAATCAGGAATGAGGCGTCCATTGGAGTTCCTGCCAGTCGGGTACTTGAAAAATGATTCTCCATAAGGGAAATAATTTGCTTGGAAGCTAGCAGTGGTGTTGATATAGTTATTATTTCCAGCATCGAAAAGTGAATCACCGAACACGAAAAGGGCAGCTTGATGAGATCTCTTATGGCACACAATTGGGGTGGTAAAATGTGCAACCAAAAAAAAGATGCACAAGCTTGAGATCAAAGCCATTAGAGAGTATTATAAGTTTGGTTTATTTTTGCATAGAATTGGAATTATATATATAGTACTACTCCTGATGTGCAGAATGATTTTTTTTAAAAAAAAACACGTGTCTGCATCGACTATCGGCTCGACGTGAAAAAGTGTTGGCTGCCTGGCTATTTATTTTGGGTATTTAATAAGTTAAAACGTGAGAAATATTTGTATAGTAGTTTTTTGAAATATATTATCTTATCAAAATCTGTTATTTTTTCCACTAATTCAAGTTGGGACCAACCAAAAAATACTAATATGTTTGTTCATCAATTATTGTGGTGAACTAAGCTCTTTCTTTAAGGTAGAGAGTCTAATTATAAACTTCGTTATTTTTATTTGTCCATTATTAACTGGGGACGCTTCTTTAATGCATAATAAATAGAATTATAATTTTACTATATTATTCTTTTAATATAATAAATTTAATGTTTTAAAAAAAATTCATATATTGAGAAATGACTATAGTTAAAATAAGGATACATTATGAACAAAGTTCTAAATTATTTCTTGATTTTTTTAATCGGACAATCAAAAAATGAATATTTATTTTTAGTATAGTAAATAAGTAAACATGAACGGAGGCAGTAGTTTAGATTCATATTGAAATTTCGTTATTTCTATAATATCTCTTGTGATTTGGCTTGATTCTGAATCATTTCTTTATACCATATTATAACATGTTTGCTACTACAAGTTGTTTTAGTTAGTATAAAATGTCAATGAGAAATGGTCACTTGAATTAATGACTAACGGGCATGATTCATTTCTTTATACCATGACATTGTTATTAAATTAATTAAAGCGTACCTTACTAACTGTCTTTTCATAAAATAGGTATTATTACTTCAATTATTGTTCTTAAAGAATAAGTTAAGAGTTGTATATTATTACAAACTAGTTGGGAAATGTTCCATGCCAGCACTGGCCGAATAATTTATTTGTGGTTGCTTTACATGGACAAAAAGAGGGCTCTAATTCCAAATATATTTCACATTCATCAGATTTTTTTTATAACCATCATTAAACTTTCATAGTGATTTAAATAATTAGCAATTTTAGATTTCTTATTCTCAAACCTCCAACCTTCTTGTGAATCATTACTTTTTGTCATTTAATAATTGCCTTTCCAGTTTCCACATGAGGTCACTTTTTATGCTATTCAAATTTTCCTCAACATAACCATGCAAATTTAATATGTGTTTTTTTTCTTTTCAAAATTCATGTGTTTTATGATATCTAATATGTCTCTTGCATCAAACTAAACCTGACAATATATGAATTATCAGAGAAAGTTTTCAGCTAAAACTTTATATTTGTGCATTATTGTACACAACAGGGAAAAATAACAATACTTGTACTCAAAAAGTCATCACTGCCATCTCCATTAGGATTCAAAAACTAATAAAATAAATAATGAAGAGAATGTGATTGTACTCCGGAAGATGTGTGATTAACTTTTAGAATAAGATACCTGTCAAAATAGTTCTTAAATCTCCACGAACATCATTCATTTGTCAAGTGCATCATGGAAGATTCTACTTTAAATAACTTTTACGTGGGTTGCACGCTTGTCGGGCGAGCTCACTTTTTTAAATTAAATTATAAATGATAATTTAGAAATATTATCATCAATATCGATAAAATAATATTAGATGATGCTAATGTTACTACGTATTAATTAAATTCACAAATAAAATTATCTTTAAAATATTTATTAAGTTTCTTTTTTCGTTAAAAGTATAAATATCTAATAGAATTTATTAACTAATTGTTTTGAGTTTGGACTCTCTTTAATTTTAAATTTTATTATTATATTATATTATTTTATTAATTTTATTGGCCCGCGGCCGTTCCTATCTATATATCTCAAGCCTCACAAATTAGCAAGTTTATTCGGTTGGGCTGAATTATTTTTTTTTAAATGGACTTCAAAAATTTTATCTCAACCCTATTAAATCCCGGGTTAGGCCAGACTAGACCAACGGGCTAGCCCATATTGACGACTCTAACTCATCGTATATTAGCAATTGTGAGGTGCTAGAACATTTGGAGAGTAATTCGACGTATTTCTGGGGGATGAACAGAGAGTCGAAAAACAAGTAATCTTTCACATTGTTACGTGACTTCTACACTTTTACTTGACCACAACTAAGAATCCCGCGAAATGGACCCGTCCCACGAGAAGATGAAAAATAAATCATAAGTAAATTAAGACTAAGGAAACATTCTTTATATAAAAATTGAACATTTTACTCTGTGTTTTCTCTACATAATATATGTTATGATTCAAGAACCATAAATTAATTTATTGCCAGAGCTGTGGTATGTAGGGGTGTCAAATGGGCGGGTTGGGCTGAAATTGAAAACATTAAAATGGGTTGAGATAGAAGTCGGGTTGGTCTTGACCCGCCCAAGTTTACTTTGGGCTCAAATGGGCTTAAAAACTGGTTGGGTCTTAACACGCGCAATTTGACCCGATTGATCTTAATAATTTAACATATTGATATTAAACTTTTATAATCACAATTTGAATTTTAGCTCGAAATTATTTTTTTAAAAAAAAGTAAAAAATGAATAGATAAACGCTAAAAGATGCTAAATAGATAATAATTTATACCTTTAATATAGAAACATATCTCAATAAAAAGTTTTAAAACTGGTTGAAATTGGATATTGAATTGGACTCGATTGAGGATTGTCTTCAAATAGGTTATGCTTGAATAGGTTGAGATTGAACTCAATTCAAATTATCCCTTAAAATTCTCTTCAACCAGTGTTGCTTATGTGAGGAGGATCAAGAAGAAACACAAATGCTGAAAGTCGTTGGATAGCTGAAGTTAGAAGCAAATTGAGTAGCTGTCTAGAGATAGCAATACAATGCAACAGAGTGTATAACACACTTAAATGGATCAAGAAAAGTAGGTGGAAGCAGTTCCAAAAAGGGATAGTAGCATCAGTATGGGGAGCAATGATCTACTACACATGGCAGTCAAGAAGTTCTAGATTATTTAAGCACGAGAGCGTACAGCCAAAATATTTGATTACACAAGAACAGAAAAATTACTAGAGATGAAGCTCCTTAACATCATATTTCACATTGTTGTTTATTCTTCATATATAGTAGGAATTGTAAGCTGCTAGGACATCTGGAGTTCGAACTTTCAAAAAAGGATTTTAGGTTGTGAGGTGCTACGACATCTGTAGTTCCATTCCACAGTAATGCAGCGTATTGTTGGTAGGCCAGTTCACTGGGATGAACAGAGTCAAAAAACAAGTAGTCTTTCACATTCTTACATAACTCATACTCTTTTACCTGCCTCTTCCCTCCACAACTAAGAATCCCTCGAAACGGACCAGTTCCACAACAAGCCGTCTCTGATATCTTAAAACCTAAACAAAACAAAATAAATTGAAACATTGTGTATACAGCAACTAAAAACATTAACGCGTTTTCTCTACATATATAGTTTCATTTTGTTATGAACATTGCATCCTCTGTTAGCGGACTTTTTGCTACAGAATTTGAATGAATATGAAAATACTTGATGAAGAGATAGAAGATACCGTATTTTGTTGGATTATGAATGCTATCTGCAAATACTTTGAAGAAGTTGAATATTGTATACTTAAATCCAGGCAATTGCTTCTCTAGTTGTTTGAGCATTTTTGGAAGAGCTGAATTAAACATTTTCGCCTTGTTTGTGGCCTCCTCCAAGCAACTTCCATTTTTAACCCCAATTCGAAGGTTGAGAACCCTAGTAGAAGGGAGACAACCTAATGGACCCAAATTAAGCATCACAAACTTTCTCCCTCCTCCTTTATAAACTCCCTGTTGCATTCATTCATTTAAACGTCACTTGTCCATTTATTAATTCAATTTTGTCAAAATATTATCTTGCAATACCATCAAACCCGTCTATAACATCAATAGAAAAGATCAATATTAGAGTACCTTTAAAACAGAAGTCAAGTTGCCCATAATCATCTGTAGATATTCTCTATCGGAATATGGAAAAGTCGAATTTGGTACTAAAGAGGCAAACATGTCATTGCTACCAGTGCTAAAAATATATACTGCATTTGCCAGGATTTTATGGGACTCTGTTTTCCCCATTTTCCTCTTCAACAGTTGTATCACATTTTCAAAATTCTTCAACTGAGTTTTTAGAACCTGTCAAATGGAAACCAACATTTAAAATTCAAACAATAAAGGACATATATGTATATATATACACATACATATATTGTCGCTTACAATGGCACCACTAGTTTCCGCCAAACAACCAGAACCGGCTGATGCAAAGTTTACCCCATGAATCAATTGTTTCTTCCCAATTTCAAAGTAGGGCGGAATAAATGGCAAATTAGCATATTCAGCTGCAAAATTATGTTTGAGTCAAATTGCATATAAGTTTGATTAATTTTCAAAGAAAAGCAAATAAATTTACCGATAAAATCAGGAATAAGGCGTCCATTAGACACCCTGCCAGTAGGATGCTTAAAGAATGATTCTCCATAAGGAAAGTAATTACTTCCCTGCAAGTCAGCAGTGGCGTTGATGTACTTATTATTTCCAGAATCGAAAACCGAATCACCGAACACAAAAAGGGCAGCTCTTTCATGGCACACAATTGGTGTGGCAAAGTGTGTAACCAAAACAAAGATGCACAAACTTGAGATCAAAGCCATTAGATTATTACAAGTTTGGTTTATATTTGCATAATATATAGAATTGAAAATATGTTTATACAGTACTAAAGATCTGCAGAATGATTTTTTTTTATTAAAAAAAAAACGTGTCTGCATCCACTATCGACTCGATGTGAAGACTAAGTTTGTTTTGTTACTTTTTGGGATAATGCACGACTACCTTCTCAATCTATGCCCAAAATCTCAGACATACAATTATATTATACTAAGGTTCTATTACACCCTGAACTTGTTTTATAAGTAATTTTCTACCACTTTTCGACCTATGTGTTCTGAGATTTCGGGCATAGATTGTGAGGATATTTGTGCATTTTCCCTTTCTTTTTTTAAGAATTAGTTGTTCTATTTTTTTAAACAATTAAACTATTGTAATTGATCAATATTTTAGAATATTTCATCAAATTGACATGAGAAATATTATAACTAGTATTTTCTTCCTACAATTTTTGAAAATATTAAAATATTGATTTGATTTTATTCAGTTTAGCTTAAAAAGCAAGTCAAATTAAATACAACAAAGTGCAACATGACTACTACTAACTTGTGACTAAACAAGTATTTGTTTAGTAGATTTTGATCTGGCAGACGTTGGGACAGTATCAAATAAATCACTTTTTTTTTGCTTAAAAAAACAACATACGTTAAATTCGGAGTAATTCACTTTTGATTCTTCAATTTGTGAGTTCACTTGTATTCTTCACCAGCTAACCTTTTTGAAAATTGAAAATTACGCGGCTAAGCAAATTTATACTATTTAATTGCTTATCATATCTATAATTTGCTATAATTACCATTCGCGACTAACATTATACATTAGTTACTTGGGCTAACTTCGAGTTCGTATAATTAGTCATATTTGTATATGTATAATTCGCCAAGATATACAAATACATATGTACAATATACAATTTTTAAACCTATATACATATACAATTTACCTCTCTCCCACTCTCTGCCCTCTCTCGTTCGCCTCTCTCCTCCCTCTCCCAATCTCACTTGCCATATATACAAATGTATATGTATAATATACAATTATCTAACCAATATACGTATATAATTCACTTCATCATGTTATGTTGAAAGTTTAAAAAAGGATTTTAGGTTGTATGGTGCAACGACGTCTGGAGTTCCATTCCATAATAATTTTGTGTATTTTTGGTAGGCCTTCTCAGAGGGATGAGAAGAGTCGAAAAAAGGAATGTCAAGCATGCTCCAGACATTCCCTTAAATTTGATCTCTATAGGACAACTAGATAATGATGGCTATCATAATGACTTGTGCAATGACCAATGGAAGCTCACCAAAGGCTCACTAATTTTAGCTCGAGGAAGAAAACATTCAAATTTATACGTGATACAAAGATCGATTCTTGGTGACTCTATAAATTTGGTGGAGAGCGAGACTTTATCAGAACTGTGGCACAAGAGACTTAGTCATATGAGCGAGAGGGGGATCACCTGTTTGGCTAAAAAGAATTTGCTTGCTGTTATGAAACAAACAAAGGTGAAAAGATGTGTTCCTTGCTTAGCAGGGAAACAGAAAAGAGTTTCTTTTCACAGTCATCCTCCTTCAAGAAAGTCTGAGCTATTGGAGCTAGTACACCCAGATTTGTGTGGTCCTTTCAAAGTGAAGTCAAAAGGCGGTGCACTTTACTTTGCTACTTTTATTGATGATCATTCTCACAAGATTTGGGTATATCCTTTAAAATCCAAAGATCAAATGCTTGATGTGTTTAAACAGTTTCAAGCCTTATCTGAGAGACAAACGGGAAAGAAATTAAAATGTATTCGCACTGATAATGGTGGTGAGTATATTGGTCCCTTTGATAACTACTGCAAAGCGCAAGGAATACGTCATCAGAAGACTCCTCCAAAGACTCCTCAATTAAATGGTTTGACAGAGAGGATGAACAGAACTTTAGTTGAGAGAGTTAGATGTGTGCTTTCAGAGGCTAAACTTCCAAATTCTTTTTGAGCTGAAGCACTTAATACTGTTGCTTATGTTATCAATTTGTCTCCTGTTGTTGCCTTGGATGGTGATGTTCCAAACAGAGTTTAGTTTGATAAGGATGTTTCTAATGATCACTTAAAAGTGTTTGGGTGTAAAGCTTGTGTGCATGTTCCAAAAGATGAGAGGTCAAAATTGGATGTTAAAACTAAGCAATGTATCTTCATTGGTTATGGTCAAGATGTGTTTGGATATCACTTTTATGATCCAATTGATAAGAAACTCATTAGAGTCGTGATGTTGTCTTCTTTGAAGATCAAACTATTGAAGATATTGACAAGACTGAGAAACTAGATTCTCATACTGATGAGAGCTTAGTTGATGTTGATCCAATTCCTACTATTGATGCATCTTTTGCACATGAGGGAACCCAAGGTAATAATCAAGACAATGATGAGAGGTAGAACATGTATTTGTTCCTATTGATGATGTTGTGGTTGATAATCAACCAACTCATGTTGGGATGACCGCTTCGGATGCTCCAGAAACCTCTTGTAGAAGATCTACTAGAGAGAAGCGAAGCTCAACATGTTATTCTCCTAATGAGTATATCCTCTTGACTGACATGGGAGAACCTGAAGGTTATGACGAAGTCATGCTAGATACTCATAGAGATAGGTGGGTAGAAGCCATGGAAGATGAGATGAAGTCACTTCACGAGAATGGCGCATATGAGCTAGTGGAGTTACTGAAAGGTAAGAAAGCTTTAACAAATAAATGGATATTTAGATTAAAGCAAGATCAACATACATTTGCACCTAGATACAAGGCTAGGTTAGTCGTCAAAGGTTTTGGTCAAAGAAAGGGGATTGACTTTGACGAAATTTTCTCTCCTGTTGTGAAAATGTCCTCCATTCGTATGGTTCTAGCCTTAGACGCAATTCTAGATTTAGAGGTTGAGCAGATGGATGTCAAGACTGCCTTTCTTCATGGTGATTTAAAATAGGAGATCTACATGGAGCAACCTGAAGGTTTTGTAGTTAATGGGAAAGAAGAAAACCATGTTTGCAAATTGAGAAAGAGTTTGTATGGCTTGAAACAAGCTCCAATGCGGTGGTACTTAAAGTTTGAATCTGTCATTGAAAATCAGGGATACAAGAAAACTTCTTTAGATCATTGTGTATTCTTTCAGAAGTTCTCTGATGATGATTTTATTATCTTACTACTTTATGTGGATGATATGCTGATTGTTGGAAAAAATAAATCTAGAATTGCAATCCTCAAGAAAGAGTTAAGCAATTCGTTTGCGATGAAGGACTTGGGGCCTGCAAAGAAGATCTTAGGCATACAAATCTATCGAGATAGACACAAGAAGAAGTTATCTGTATCCCAAAAGGAGTATATTGAGAAAGTACTCAAGAGGTTCAACATTACAGAGACAAAAGTGGTTAGTACACCTCTTGCTAAACACTTTAAGTTGAGTACGACTCAAAGTCCATCGACTAATGAAGAGAAAAATGAGATGTCGAGTATTCCATATTCTTCCGCGGTTGGTAGTTTGATGTATGCTATGATTTACACTAGACCAGATATTGCACATGTTGCTGGTACCGTTAGCAGATTTCTTTCCAATCCTGGAAAAGAACATTGAGGTGCAGTGAAATGGATACTACGATATTTGAAGGGTACGTCAGATATGGAGTTGTGCTTTGGTAGTGGCAAGTCTGAACTAGTATGCTACACGGACTCTGATTTGGGAGGAAATCTTGACAATTCAAAATCTACTTCTGGATATTTGATCACTTTTGGAGGGGGAGCTATTTCTTGGCAATCAAGACTTCAGAAGTGCATAGCTCTATCTACCACAGAAGCCGAATATATTGCCATTACTGAAGGTGCCAAGGAATTGCTTTGGTTGAAGGAGTTTATCAAAGATCTTGATTTTGAACAATCAAGATTTGTCTTATTTTGTGATAATCAAAGTCTATTTATCTCACCAAGCACTCTACATTTCATTCTAAGTCCAAGCATATTAGTAGAAAATATCATTGGATTAGAATGGCCCTAGAAGAGAAATTATTTGAGGTTGAGAAGATACACACTGATGACAATCATTCAGATATGCTTACGAAAGTGGTGATCGTAGATAAGCATGAGTTTTGTAGAAGTGCGGCAAGCATGAAGCCTGCCTAGAGATCCTCTACTTGAAGTTCATTTGGCCCCTTGGCTGGAGGAGGAGTTTGTTGGGCTATTGTCCATGTTCCAGCCAAAGGCCCATGGCCTAATCCTACTTGGAAAAGGATTAGAATTATTTTCTTTATTTGGTTTCTAATTCTATTAGGAAAAGGTGGAATAGTAATCCTATTTGTAGTTGGTTTTGGCTTTATAAGGAAAAGCACAACTCTATAAATAGAGGATGGTTCTGAGAGAATAATTAATTGCTCACTGTTATTATATTTGAAAGACATTAGAACATAAGAGAGATTTTTAAGAGAGTTTTCAACAAGAGAAAAAGAGAGAAAGAAAAGGGTTTTGTTGCAGTCTTTTCTCCGACCAGTCACGTTCAGATCGTGTTTTCCGATTAACTAACCGTTTGGATCGGGCTGAAATTTGGACTGAGTGTCCCTGACATCTTGGTGGTTGATTTGAACGGTGGAGATCGGATTCGGAGGTCAGCAAGATCCTGTTTTAGGTCCCGAACAGAAGCTGGGTTTGGGTGGTGTTTCTTTCTATTTATCTTTTGTTGGTGTAACTATTGTTTGTTCTCTTTTGGCACTTGTTGTGTAGCCATTAGAAGAATATTTGTAACCCTCTTATTGTTATAGTGAAGCATTCGGATCTTGTCGATCCCGTGGTGTTTACCTTCGGTTTGAATGGTTTTTCCACGTTAAACTTGGTGTTCTTTATTGTTAGATTTTCGATTTCTATCTTTTCCGTCACAACAAAGTCATCTCATCAAATCTAAAGAAATCAAACACAAGATCAGAAATAACAGTAAAGATAAAAGCTCCTTGTCATCAACATGACCAATTACTTTTCTCTTCCTTATATAGTAAGCATTAACAGAAGAATTCCACCATCAGGTTATGTTGACCGTTTAAAAAAGGATTTTAGCTTGTAAGGTGCTACCATGTCTGGAGTTCCATTCCATAGTAATTTTGCGTATTGTTTATAGGCCAGCTCAGTGGGATGAAAAGAGTCGAAAAACAAGTACTCTTTCACATTTTTACATAGCTCGTACTTTTTTACCTGCATTGTCCCTCCACAACTAAGAATCCCTCGAAATGGACCCGTTCCACAACAAGCCGTGTCTGATATCTTAAAACCTAAATAAAACAGAACAAAACTTTTAAGTAAATTAAAATGAACATTTTTTATATAACAATCAAACATTTGACTTTATTCATCTCTAATATGGTTTGTGTGATTTCATTTTGTTATGATTATTGCATCAACATTCTACTTTGTTAGCAGAGCCATCAAATTTCTGCTACAGAGTTTGTACTGTGAATAGAGAAAAAAAATAAACCTACATATGATTTATGCTTCATCTTTCTATGATCAATTCCTATTTTTTCTTTTACTTTATTGAAGGTTTCTCATGGGGAGACTAAATCCGGATTTGAACCAGGAAGTCCTACATACGCTCCTTAACAAACGCGATTTCATACCATTTCTCGAGCCGAGAAATTTGGTTAAAGATAAAAGATTACTTACTACCAATTCCTGTTGATACTTATTGTACATTAGTAAACTCTTGGTAAAACAGCTATTCTTACATAAATCAACACTGCACAATATATAATCGAACATAAAGATACTTGATTTTGAATTCAATGAGATAGAAGATACCATATTTTGTTGGATTATTAATGCTATCTGCAAATACTTTGAAGAAGTTGAATATTGTATACTTAAATCCAGGCAATTGCTTCTCTAGTTTTTTAAACATTCTTGGGAGAGCTGAATTAAACGTCTTCGCTTTGTCTGTTGCTTCCTCCATACAACTCCCATTCGTAACTCCTTTTTGAAGGTTGAGAGCCCTCATAGAAGGAACACATCCTAATGGAGCCACATTAAACATCACAAACTTTCTCCCTCCTTCCTTGTAAATTCCCTGTAAACAAAGTACAACGAATTAGTCCTAGGACTAACTTCACGTAGAACATGCAAGTAACAATATCTGATTTGTTTCTTGAATAGATAAAAACTACTACTCACTCGTAAATAAATTAAATCGAAAAGATCAAATATTAATTACCTTCAAAACAGAAGTCAAATTTCCCATAACCATCTGTTGATATTCTGTATCGGAATATGGAGAAGTCAAATTTGCTAAGAAAGGGAAAAGGAAATCATTATTGGCAGGGCTGAAAATATATACAGCGTTGGAGAGGATCTGTTTCGACTCTGTTTCACCCATTTTCTTCTTCAACAGTTGTGTTACGTTTTGGAATAATTTCAACTGAGTTTTAAGATCTATAACCTATCAAATGAAAACAAACATTTAATTAATATTGATCAATCGATCCATCTAACTATCAAATTCAAACAAGAATTACTATATTGTGACTTACAGAGCCACGATTGGTTTCAGCTAAACAACCAGAACCGGCTGATGCAAAATTCACCCCATGAATGAAATGTTCCTTCCCAATTTCAAAATATGGCGGAATAAATGGCAAATTAGCATATTCAGCTGCAAAATCAAAATCAAAATCAGTTGACTGACATTCACTACCTCCAACAATTAAATACTTTAACGCGAACAAATTTACCAATAAAATCAGGAACGAGACGTCCATCGGAGGCCCTGCCAGTAGGGTATTTGAAGAATGATTCTCCATAAGGGAAATTATTACTTCCTTGGGGATTAGTATTCGGGTTGATGTACTTATTATTTCCAGGATCAAAAATTGAATCACCAAACACGAAAAGGGCAGCTTGATGATGTCTTTCATGGCACACAATTGGTGTGGCAAAATGTGCAACCAAAACAAAGATACACAAGCTTGAGATCAAAGCCATTACAGTATTATATGTTTGGTTTAATATAATTATATATATAGTACTCCTGATGCGCAGTTTGATTAAAAAAATACCTGTGTCTGCTGCATCCACTACTTTGAAATATATAGGGTATATTTTAATGCTAAATATAATAGTGACAAGCATATTATTATCGCTTAATCTTTTATTTATTTTATTGATACAAGATAAAAGAAAGTACAACTCTGAATATTAACGAAGTTAAATTCTCATCACTCTTACAAAGAAAAAACACAATTTATTGCTGATAATGAACTATATTATTTGACGGTTCATTCCTTAACTCAAAAATTACTATGATTAAACTTTTTCCGTTCAATTAAAGAATTATCAGTAAGAGTTGAGGAAAGCCAGTTTATTTATATATTTTAGCAACTAACAAGGGAAGCCGTTTTTTTCCTTATAATAATATTGAGTTGGTTGAACAAAGGATCTCACAAATATGAATCAGGTTGTAATGTTTGAAATTTTCTTCATAGATCGAACTCATCACATGGTATGGGATAGTGTTTTTAGTACTTATTTATTGCCAAGTTTCTTTCCACCTTCCCTATGAATTTTTATTTCCTTTCCCTCCTTTATTTTAGGTATCGGAGATATTCGTGTCTCTTCAAAAATAAAATAAGAACATGTTCACAATAAAAAACTTTTTGCAAGGCATATTCCCTAGACAGGAATCAATTGAACCAAACAATGATAATCAAGCGCAACTCATGGTAATTTTTCCCTGTTATATTGGATATCTCAAAATAAATGAGACTTTTTTTTGGATTAAGTTCAAAATCTAGAACTCTGAAATTCGCCCGGAAGATCAAGGATTCTACTAGCACTAACATATTATTCACAATGCCTTCTCGTCAAGCACGGTAGTACAAGATTCTTGTTGCTAGTGAAGTTTGAATCTAGCTGCTTCATTGTTCCACAAATCTTCAGTTTTCTCCTATTTTTGTATTTCCAGTCATTATCATTCCAAAATAGCTTCATTTTTTTTAAAGAAATAACTCCGGTTCGCAAACCTCTTTGGCTACACTTCTCTTTGGTTGCGGAAGAGAATTCAATTAGACATTAAGTTTCCTTATTTGAAAGATAAATTTGTTGGGTTAATGTTATAGATTAGGTTGGATTAAATTATTTGGGGGTGGGGTTATATCTCAATTTTGATTTATTTTAAATTGAATTGTTCTTGTAACTTAGTTGTTCATGTGTATATTTAGCCCGAAAGTATAACAGAAAGAGTATATTTAGCTCAAAAGTATAACTAAAGATATATTTAAACTATTTCCTATAATATAAGAGTATATTTGACCCATTACGGTAAACTATGTTAATTTTGATTAAAGAAAAAATAAAATGTTTCATCAAATTTGAACGAGGAAAAGGTTGATTTATTGTGTTTTTGTTTATAATTTTTGAATATATATTTAATTATATAATATTAATTTATTCTAATTTAATTTAGCTTTAAAAATTAATCGAATCAAGTATCAACTCTCAAAAAGCGGACAAGATAAATAATTTTGATTAATATGTAAACGAGTATTAATAAATAAGATTGCTTAACGTGGAGTAGTTTTATATAGTACTTGTGAACTTTGGACTCTTCACTGACCAAGTTTGTTAGTTTAATACTCTTTACTAACTCTCCTTTTCTTAAAATAGGAATTATTGTGTTTCCAAAATAAACTAATAAATTAAAGGTATAATATATAAATATATCTTTTAATTTGGATTGATTTTACACTTATATTCTTCAATTTTGACAATGCACAAGTGAACACTTAAATTTATAAAAAATTGAATAAGTACATACATTAGTCGTATGTGGCATAATATATATATGACACCACGTGGAACACAAATTACCATGTAGGATTCACGTAAGACACATGTGTCTTTTTGTTTCAAACTTATACAAATTTAAGCGTCAACTTATGAATACTCAAAGTTGAAAATTATAAATATAATATGAGATATTGTTAAAAGGCATATTTATGTATTACTCCTAAACTAAAAGTGCACCCGACCAAATGAAGGGAAGTGGTAATGGAGGGAATTTGGAGGCCCTGCCAGTAAGGGTGCTTGAAGAACAAATAGTATTCATTTTCTAACCGTTCCTAACGTTTTCAAATGACTAGTTACGATATATATATATGTTACTTCTTGTTGGGAAAATACGGACAAGCACAAAAGTATATATGGTAAATGTAATGGAAATAAAATGGGAAAATAACGACGCCAAGAATTTTACGTGAAAACCCTTCTGAATAAGGGAAAAAATCACGGGCCAAGAGGAGCAACTAATATTACTATAGTAAGGAATTTTACATTGTGTAGTCACGAATACAACACTCAATGTGACTACTACACACTCAAAAGGAACAACACTCTTTTGGTTTCCGTCTTACTAAAATATCGCTCACACTCTATTTTTCTTCACAGACTATTTTCTTATATAGTCTATGGAATACTTCACTTTGCTCTCAAAATGGTTTTTCTCTCTAACTTGGTGTATTCTACAAATGAGCAAGAATTCTCTATTTATAGAAGGATAAAACCATACCTATGTCACTAATGACATATGTAAACATAGCAAAGTCAAAAATGGTTGCAAATCTTACCAATTTGCCAACTACCAAATCTTTTCTTTTCAACTCCAATTACTATTCCTTTTTAACAATTGCTTGTACCAATTGAATAGCTAAAGTTGACTAAAACAATGGGATGGATTCAACAAATCTCTCCCTCCAGTCCCATTTACTAGAAGAATGTATCTTCAACTTCTTTAGAAAGAGCTCATACCCACAAGTTCTTTGCATAACTCGAACTTGTCTTTTGGTATCATCTTGGTCAGCATATCTGCAGGATTTTCACTTGTGTGAATCTTTTTGACGTGAAATGATTCATTCTCCACTTTCTCACGAATCCAATGATATCTGACGTCAATGTGTTTTGTTCTTGCATGGTACATGGAGTTCTTGCTCAAGTCTATTGCACTCTGACTGTCACAATAGACAATATACTCCATCTGATTCAAACCAAGCTCTTGAAGAAATCGCTTTAGCCATATCATCTCCTTGCCGGGTTCAGTAGCCGCAATATACTCAGCTTCAGTTGTAGATAGTGCAACACACTTCTACAACTTTGACTGCCATGATATAGCTCCCCCTGAAAAAGTAAACAAATATCCAGTAGTGGATTTTCTGTTATCAAGGTCACCTGCCATATCAGAATCTGTATAGTCTTTCAAGATTGGATTTGATGCTCCAAAACACAAGCATTCATCTGAGCTACCTCTAAGATACCTGAGTATCCATTTCACAGCTTCCCAATGCTCTTTTCCCGGATTTTCGAGAAATTTACTGACAACACCAACTGCATGAGCAATATCAGGTCTAGTGCACACCATTGCATACATTAGACTTCCGATGACGGAGGAATATGGAACTTTGGCCATATTCTCTTTTTCCTCCCTAGCTGTAGGACACATCTTCTTGCTCAACTTCATATGACCAGCAAGAGGTATACTAACAGGCTTAGCATTCTTCATATTGAAGCGCTCCAGTACACGTTCAATGTACTTCTCCGTGACAAATAAATCTTCCTTTTATCTCTAAGACGAGTAATTCTCATGCCCAAAATTTGTTTGGCATGACCCAAATCTTTCATAGAAAAAGACTTACACAACTCTTTCTTTAGCTCGTCAATCTTGGAAGTATTTTTGCCCACAATCAACATATCATCCACATACAACAAAAGGATGATAAAATCATTGTCAGAAAATTTTTGTACAAATACGCAATGATCTGAAGAAGTCTTCTTATAGACTTGCTCCCCCATAACATATTCAAACTTTTTGTACCACTGTCTAGGAGCTTGTTTTAGGCCATAGAGACTCTTTTTGAGTTTGCATACAAAATGTTCTTTACCATCTACTTTGAAGCCCTCAGGTTGTTCCATATAAATCTCTTCTTCTAGGTCACCGTGAAGGAAAGCCGTCTTCACATCCATCTGCTCAATCTCTAAATTAAGACTAGCAGCCAAACCTAGAACTGTGCGAATCGAGGACATTTTCACAACAGGAGAAAATATTTCATCAAAGTCAATACCTTTCCTTTGACCGAATCCCTTAACAACCAATCTAGCTTTATACCTGGGCTTCAAGTTGTGTTCTTCAACTTTAACTTTGAACACCCACTTGTTCTTCAAAGCTCTCATGCCCTTGGGCAATTTTACCAACTCATAAGTGTGGTTCTCATGCAAAAATTTCATCTCATCTTGCATGACTTCAATCCATTGATTCTTGTGCTCATCTTCCATGGCCTCCTCATAACATTCAGGTTCTCCCCCGTCAGTGAGTAACACATACTCATTGGGTGAATAACGGGAGGAAGGAAACCACTATCTTGTGGACCTCCGAAACGGAATATTTAATTCGTTCACAACTTCATGAGCAACAGGATTATCAATAATAATATCATTGTTATTATCAACATCAACATGTTGATTCAATACATGATTTTGGGCATCACCATGATTATCAAACCCAACAACATCATGCACACTTGTGTGAGGAACTTCATCATGATGAACTATACCATCAAAACTTGAAGATTCTACCTTCTCTGCTTTGTCAATATCTTCAATTGTTTGATTCTCCATGAAAATAATATCACGGCTTCTCACAAGTTTCTTTTCAATTGGATCATATAGCCTGTAACCAAATTCATCTAGGCCATATTCAATGAAGATGCACTGCCTTGTCTTAGTATCTAACTTTGACCTCTCATCTTTCGACACATGTACAAAAGCTTTGCAACCAAATACTCTCAAATGGTCATAGGATACATCCTTTCCATACCAAACACTATTTGCTACATCACTTTGCAAAGCAACAACATGAGATAGATTAATAACATGTGCAGTGGTCAATAAAGCCTCACCCCAAAATGAGTTCGGCAATTTTGCTTCAGAAAGCAAACATCTAACTCTTTCCATCAAGGTCCTGTTCATACTCTCAGCCAAACCATTAAGCTTAGGAGTC